GTTTTAGTTTTTAGTTTCAGTTTATTTAGTTTTACTTATTTTAGTACTTCACGGTAAACTAAATGAAAATGATAAATTTTGTCTTGGCAACTAGCTGAAATAAAATAAGTTTAGTTTTTTTTTTTCAAGTAATGAAAATTGTTTTTATAGTTTTAGTTAATGATAATAACCCTGCATTAAACACTTGCTGAACAATCATTTTATATAAACATAATGTTTAAAGCAGTCATCACTAATAATATTTCTCATATTAAGGTTAATAGTTTATTCTGAATGGTGCACAACCCTAAAAATAAAAACAAAATATCTTTTAAAATATATCTTATATTAAAATATTTTATTTTATTGTTTTTAGCGTTGTGCATCATTCAGAATTTAATAAATTACAACTCAGTTCCTAAATTTGAACTGAGGTTGCAAACTGGATGGAGAATTGCAATTCATAAGGAATGTAAGGAAGTGGAATTAAATTAATTGAAATTTAAAGAAATTCAGATAACTCTGTTTTTTTAACTATACATTTTATAAACTATAAATTAACTAAGACTATAATTTTAACTATAAATTTTATAAATTTTAACTACAAACGTTGAATGTTGGCTTGATAAAGAAAAATTTAAAAAAATATTTTTTTAAAGTCTGTAGGCTTTGAATAGATGGACTGCATTACCTGTGTTGAATTTCTTTGAATTATAATTCAGTAAATTCCTTTTCCTGTCCAATTCTACTTCCTGTGGGTGTGACCAATGCAATTCAAACTGAAAGTGAGCCAATTCAGTGACATTTGATGGGAAGAAATCACCTAGCAACCAGCCACAGCACCCTAGCAACTGCATAGCAACATTGTAACATTTAGAACACGTTAGTAACGGAACAGCACTGTCTTTCTGCTGAAAATGCAGTTTATTAATCTAATGGTGGGAACGAACACATACACACACACACACACACTCATACACACACACACACACACACACACACACACACACAAACACACACACACA